CAACAACAACAACAACAACAACAACAACTGATGTTTCTTCTGTTTAATGGATTGTGAAGCTCCAGGTGTTCTGACCCAGTCAGGTTCTGTGGTCTCTGTTGGTCTCTGTAGAACTTCCTGTCAGGGGTCTGGTGGGTTTTGGACTCGTCCAGAACCGAAGGTGGTCTGAGATCACTCCACATCAACCATCTCCACGTCACCTGGGTCTGCAGACTCCGCCTTCTTCTTCTTCTTCATCATGGCAGCTGATGATGATGATGAGCTCTTCTTCTGTGGTTCTGCTGTAGCTTCAGCTGAGGACGACACAGTTCATCTTCAACATCAAACAGGTTCTGACTGGTGGTTGTCAGACAGGTACAGGTGCTTCTGAACCAACCAATCAGGACTCAGCTCAGGTGACTTACCTTCCATGGCAGACTTCTCCTTCTGCAGGTGCTGCAGCTGCTTCACAAGTTTCCTCTTCTTCTTCCCAGACAAGGTGATGTTTGCTCTGGGGCTGGACCTGTGTGGGGACACAGGTGAGGACAGACAGGTGAGGACAGACAGGTGAGGACAGACAGGTGAGACAGACAGGTGAAAACAGACAGGTGAAAACAGACAGGTGAGGACAGACAGGTGAGGACAGACAGGTGAGACACAGGTGAGACACAGGTGAGACAGACAGGTGAGGACAGACAGGTGAGAACAGACAGGTGAGGACAGACAGGTGAGACACAGGTGAGACAGACCGGTGAGACAGACAGGTGAAAACAGACCGGTGAGACAGACAGGTGAGACAGACAGATGAGGACAGACAGGTGAGACAGACAGGTGAGACAGACAGGTGAGAACAGACAGGTGAGACAGACAGATGAGGACAGACAGGTGAGGACAGACAGGTGAGACAGACAGGTGAGGACAGACAGGTGAGAACAGACAGGTGAGAACAGACAGGTGAGACAGACAGGTGAGGACAGACAGGTGAGAACAGACAGGTGAGAACAGACAGGTGAGACAGACCGGTGAGACAGACAGGTGAAAACAGACAGGTGAGACAGACAGATGAGGACAGACAGGTGAGACAGACAGGTGAGACAGACAGGTGAGGACAGACAGGTGAGGACAGACAGGTGAGACAGACTGGTGAGGACAGACAGGTGAGACAGACAGGTGAGACAGACAGGTGAGACAGACAGGTGAGGACAGACAGCTGGAACAGGTGTGTCTGACCTCCTCTTCTTCAGGTGATGGACCGTGATGAGACCCTGGTCCACGATGGCGCCGATGATTCGATGTTTCTTCTTGTTCTTCTCTCGTTTCTGAACTCGCCGCCGTTTCAACAGTTTCTTCCCCAATTCCTGAGAGACACAGGTCAGAGGTCACCAGGTGGACACTCACCTGTCTCACCTGTGTCCAACACGGTGTCAGAATCAGACCAGGTCCATCTGGGTTCTGATGTTCCCTGTTCACTCTGGAGACGTCTTAAAGTTCCTTCTACACCTGTCTTCACCTGGTCAGGTTCAGGGTCAGGATCAGGGTCAGGATCAGGGTCAGGTTCAGGATCAGGATCAGGATCAGGGTCAGGATCAGGGTCAGGGTCAGGGTCAGGGTCAGGGTCAGGGTCAGGATCAGGGTCAGGTTCAGGTTCAGGATCAGGATCAGGGTCAGGTTCAGGTTCAGGATCAGGATCAGGGTACAGTTTCTGTTTATGAGGCTGAGTTACCTGAACGTCCTCGGACTGAAGACGTCTCTTGGAGGAGGGACAAACCTGTCCACAGGACCTACTGGACATTTTTCTKCCTGGATTATTGATCAGGACATTAATAATGAATCTTCTTACACCAGAGTTAGTCATGGAGTTCCTCAGGGTTCACTGCTTGGACCAATCCTCTTTACTTTATATCTGCTTCCTTTAGGTAAAGTTATTTAACATAATGGGATAAATGTCCATTGTTACGCTGATGATACTCAGTTATATTTATCCATGAAACCTGATGAATCCAACCAGTTACTTAAACTACAAACTTAGGGCTTCAACAGTTAATTAAAGTACCAACAAGATTTGGCAAGACATGTAATCAGTGTGCACTGCCAATGCAATGCACACTATTGTGATTCGTTTCCATTCCATCCAAGTCATCTCAACTTTGCCATGCTTCTCCTCCTGCATACTTTGTCCTAGAGCTGCCATTGTAATTTCTATCTGTAAAGCCCCTGTGCCAAATGATGGCTATGCCTTTTGGTGCCTGT